CTGCAGGCCTTGGCTTAACCGCTGCACCACATCGCTGGCCCAGGTCTTCCCTTCTTATCTCTGGTTTTACTTTTCTGCTCTTTGGGGTCAGTGTGCTTTCCTGGAGGAACAGACTCTACCTGCGACCCCTGACCCCCGCTGGAGCCAGCCGTGCTAGCACCTGTCCTCTTTGACCTTCTAGGAGTTTTCAGATATTCTTTCACTTACTGGGAGTGTCAGCCACAGGTTCCTTTTCTCCGTATATATTTGCATTTGTTTAACTGGAATCTCATTTGTATGTGACTGTTTGCACTTAACTGTCTTTGGTGTTTGCAGCACCTCTCGATTTAGTTTCATCTGCAGATTTAGTGTCTGGTGAGCCAGTTTCTGACCCAGAATCTAACTGGGTTTTAGAAGTCTGAAGCTAATTTTCTTCTAGTACAATGATTAACCCAAAATCATCTGAAGTAATTTTAAGCTTATCATTATTAACTAAAAATACACTTTTTGTTCAGTTAAAAAATATTTTAAATTATTTATTTGAGAGGCATAGAGCTTCTACCATTGATTCACTCCCAAGTGCCCACAACAGCCAGAGCTGGGGGAGGCCATGCTGGGAGCCAGGAACTCAATCCAGGTTTACCATGGGGTGGCAGGAACCAGTAAGCTGGAGTCAGGAACCAATGAAGACAGACAAGCCAAGCACCTGAGTGTGTTAACCAGCTTCTTGACTGCCAGGCGAAACAACCACCCCTCAGTTAAATTTTAAAAATCACTGAAACCTTCAAGGTTCTTTGGTAGACTTAAACTTTAAATTTTTTAAAGAAGATTTATATATTTATTTGAAAGTGCAAGTTACAGAGAGAGAATCAGTTCATTCACTCCCCAAATGGCTGCAAAGGCCAGGCCAAAGCCAGAGCTTCTTCCAGGTCTTCCATGTGGGTGCTAGGGCCCAAGTGCTTTGGGCCATCTTCCAGTGCTTTCCCAGGTGTGTTTGCAGGGAGTTGGGTTGGAAGTAGAGCAGCTGGGACACAAATTGGTACCCAAATGGGATGCCAGTGTTTTCAGTGGTGGCTTAATCAAGTATACCACAACGCCGACCCTTAAACTACTAATTTTTTTGAGTAAGCAAGATGCTGTTCATATAAACTGTGGTATGTCTGAAGAATTGAAAGGTTTTTCCTTTTAAAACTAATCTTTTCCCATAATATACAAGTAACATTTTTTTATTTATTTTTTTTGATAGGCAGAGTGAACAGAGAGAGAAAGGTCTTCCTTTTGCCGTTGCTTCACCCTCCAATGGCCGCCACGGCCGGCGCGCTGCGGCCGGCGCATGGCGCTGATCCGATGGCAGGAGCCAGGTACTTATACTGGTCTCCCATGGGGTGCAGGGCCCAAGGACTTCGGCCATCCTCCACTGCACTCCCTGGCCACAGCAGAGAGCTGGCCTGGAAGAGGGCAACCGGGACAGAATCCGGCCCTGACCAGGACTAGAACCGGGTGCCGGCGCCGCAAGGCGGAGGATTAGCTAGTGAGCCGCGGCGCCGCTTACAAGTAACATTATTACAGAAAAGTAAAGATACACTAAAGAAAACTAGAGATAGCCACTGTTTATTTATTTTTAATTTTTTAAGATTATTTATTTGAAAGTAGAGTTAGAGAGGTAAGAGAGAGAGGGACAGACAAAGCTGTGTGTCTTCCATCCGCTGGTTCACTCCCCAAATGGCTGCAATGACCAGGTTTGGGCCAGGCTGAAGCCGCAAGCCAGGACCACTGTCCTGGTCTCCCATGTGGGCGGCAGGGTACTTGAACCATATTCGGCTGCCTTCCCAGGTGCACTGGCAAGGAGCTGGATTGGAAACGGAGCAGCCAGGACTGGAACTGGTGCTGCAGGATGGATAGCAGTGTCGCAAGCTGTGGCTTAAACCCACTGCGCCACAACAGCGCTGGCCATTTTTTATACCTTCATCTGTGTTATTTAGACCTTGTTAGTGCCTTTTTTCCTCTCCTTTTCTTCTTCTAATGTGAAGAGTTTCCAACACACATACGAGAGTGTAATGACGCCTGGTACCTGCTGTCCAGTCCTAGCCGCAATCAGAACGTGGCCAGCTCTCACTCTGCACTTCCGCTCTTCCGTCTGTTATTTTGAATCAAATCCTGGATATCTATCATGTCATCTGTAAGGTTTCAAACTCTTTCTAAAACATGATCACTGGGCTTTTAAAATAATGACAATTAGCATGGTTATACTAAAAAGAATCCTTTGTCTGATTAAGATACTGGTTTCTTGTTCAAATTCTTACTGTATCTTAAGTTTTTAAAAATGCTTTATCTGAATTGGATTCAGTTAACGTCCTTGGCCTGAAGTTGGTTGATAGGCTTTGTGGTCTCTTATGTAGTCTGTGGTTCCCTTGCTAACGTTCTTTGTGTCTTGCCCTCGTAGGTGAAGAAGCAGGGTTGTTTTGTGGTTTCTCATAGTCTGCGTTTTGCCCATCACCTCCTGTGGGGGAGTCTGATGTGTTCTGTGTTCCTTGTATTTTCAAAAAATGGGTAGCTTATGTATATTTTACCGCAAAAATGAGATTATATTGTTCATGCTTTTTATAATTTTTTTACCTAATAAATTTGTATGCCTTCCTAGAGTCATTAAATATTCTTCTACAACATTGTTCTTAATGCTTGCAATGTATTTGGATTTTAGATGTTTTTAGTCCTTATGATAACAACACTGCTACAAACATTCTTTTAGCTAAATAATTATTTTGATACTAGGGAATGGTGTGATGAAATACCACAGTGCACAGAGGTTTTGGTTAACAAGAATAAATCTTGTGCTTTCAATGCCATCACGCTATTGGAGGACTTGGCTTTCCTCTTTCTCTTTTAAGCAAAATGGGCATATTAAGTTTTGACCAAAGGAGATAATATGCAGTTGATGACCGAGGCCTCTACAAACAAGGACAACACTTGGCTAGAGAAAAAAAGCCCTTGGTGGGCAGAGCCCCGGGGGTTAAGTGTGGGGGGAGGGTGCACCAGAGCTTTTTTCATGTCTTCTGAAATGTGGCGCTCACAGTGGTGCTGTTGGATCCCACACCATGGAACCCATCCGATGACCTTGGTGATCCTTTGGAAAGTGTGCTTCTTAAACTGCATCTTCACCTGAGGCATGTTGCTACAGAGAGAGGCACGGGTGCAGTCCAGGAACAGAGCATTGCTGGTGACGGTGAATGGATGTAAGCATTTAAAAAATCCGTTGTTTATTGCAGATCACTGAAGAAATGGTATTGGCACTTGCATGTGCTTCTGATGTCGCTGCTGGGGCTGGGCACTGGGTTGCAGACCAGTGTTAATCCTGCTGCATGAAACACGTTCTTAAGAATGTACTGAATCAGCGATTTAAAGTGTTCAGCTGAGTTAATTATTTTGTATTAGTTTATCCCATACTGTTTTATTTCTAGTCTTGAAATTTAAAAATTATATAAAGCCTGTTTATTTCAGATTTATCAGGAGAACAGATCAGTGGAGGACAGGACTTGGTAAGTTCCTGGTGTAAGGAAGTATGGAATGTTACTACCTCGATATTATTAATAGTTATTAACAATAACTTACCTTTATTAGGGCTACTATGTACCAGACACTCATTCTAAGTGTTTTACAACTATTACCTATTTTAACCTCAGAACAATTCTAACATTCCCATTCTACAGATGAGGAAACACAAACAGAGAAGCTCATTTAGCTGGGATCACAGTGACGGTGGTGGTGGGCTGACTCCAGCGCCTGCCTCCAGTTGTGCACACAGCATTTCTGAAAGGGGCGGTTTCTGGCTCTCGCTTTAAGATGCCCAGGGCATTCTTGCCAATATCAGAACCTCGGCTGCTTCTGACCAAGGCTGGATGCAGGCCTGCATGCTGAGAACCCTGTTCCTGCAAAGAAGGAAGTCACGTTCCTGAGTGAAAGTTGTCCCAGTTTCGGCACCAGAGGTGTTCAGTTTGGGGCCACAGAGATTGGTTTAGAAGAAGCACCACTGTGTTTTGTCCCTGCAGAGTTGTTTTTCGTGCGTGCCCTCTCTTCAGGGGAACTTCTTTCCTATGATAGAGCTAAAAATACCGTTTGCGTCCAAATCAGGTTATCAGTGCTTCTGAGACATAATAGTACCCTTCTCCCCAGGTTCCCAAGATGTTCCCAGTGTGTTTATTCAGCCAGAAACGTCTTTGAATTTTTTTGTTTTCCTCTCATTGTGAATACACAGGTTCATGTAGAAACAAAAGGGAATACCAGCCGTCAGAAGGGTGGGTGATAGCTCCTTTCTGCTCTCCCTCTCACTGTCCACTTTCTGATTTATGTTCTTTTAGCCTTTATGTATAGAGGTAAAGAGGCAGAATTTTTAAAAAAGATTTATTTATTTATCTGAAAGGCAGGGTGATAGAGGGAGAAAGAGATCTTGTATTCACTGCTTCACTCTGTAAATGGTCACAAAACCAGGGCTGAAGCCAAGAACCTGGAACTCCATCCTGGTTTCTCACATGAGTGGCAGGGATGCACGTACTTGGACTACTGCTACCCTCTGCTGCTTTCTCAGGTACATTAACAGGGAACTGGATCAGAGGTGGAGCATCTGGGACTCGAACCAGTGCTCCAGTATGGGATGCTGGCATTGTAGACAGCAGCTTCACTCACTGTGCCATAATGCCAGCCCCCAAGGGCAGATGTTAACATCACGTGCATTCATACATAAGTGAATACATTTTGTTATGTGGAGAAGAATAGCCACACACCATTTATAACCCTTTTTTCACCCAAAAAATTACAAGCATATTTACCTAGCAATAAGTTATCTCCAGATCGTCCCTTTCAAAGCTGTGTGCTCTCTCACTCTAGGCTAGGTCATACTTTCAGTTAGAAGTCTCCTGTTAGATGCTCTTGATTGTTCCCAGGCTTCACATTTTTAGTTGATTTATTTTAATTTTTTTAAATTTAAACGTAGACAGAAATCTTCCATCTACCGGGTTCACTCCCCCAAATGGCTGCAACAGATCAGGTCTGGGCCAGGCCAAAGCCAAAAGCCCGGAACTCAGTCTGGGTCTTCCATGTGGATGGCAGAGACCCAAACACATGAGCCATCATCCACTGTTTCCCAGGATGTGCATTAGCAGGAAGCTGGATTGGAAGCAAAGGCAGCCGAGACTCAAAGCAGGCACGCCGAGGCGGGATGCGGGCATCCTAAGAGCTGGCTGAACTGCTGAGCCAAACGCGGGCCTGGCTTCAGGCTCTTTGTTGTGAACAGTGTGGTGACGAACATCCTCGTCACATAAATGCTGGTGCCTCTGTCCGTTCATTCTTCACAGTAAATTCCCAGAAGTGAAATTACAGAATGAAACATGCATTTTTTAAAAGATTTATTTATTTACTTGAAAGTCAGAGTTACACAGAGAGAGAAGGAGAGGCAGAGAGCGAGAGAGAGAGAGAGAGAGATTTTCCATCTGCTGGTTTACTCCCCAGCTGGCCGCAACGGCTGGAGCTGCACTGATCCGAAGCCAGGAGCTTCTTCCAGGTCTTCCCACATGGGTGCAGGGGCCCAAGGACTTGGGCCATTTTCCACTGCTTTCCCAGGCCATAACAGAGAGCTGGATCAGAAGTGGAGAAGCCGAGACTCGAACTGGTGCCCATATGGCATGCCGGCACTGCAGGCGGCGACTTTCCTGTTATGCCACAGCACCAGCCCCGAAACATGCATATTTGAAGGTTTTTGACAAATTTTGCCATACTATTTTATTTAGACTGTATCAGCACAACCGTGTCCTTTGACCTGGGTCTTGATTCTGAAGTGTTTGTTTCCACTGTTTCTGCTCTCTGGCCGTTTGTTGGGTAAAAGATGATCTTCCTATGACAGGTTGGGGAACCAGGCTTTCACTCCAGTAATTTGTCTTCCTGAGGAAATTTTGGCAAATCTAAAAATATATATGCTGCTGTTTCTAAAACCCAGTGTTGGGGCTGGCACTGTGACTCAGCAGGTTAAGTTACCACTCACAACGCTGGCATCCCGTATCTGAGTGCCAGTTTGAGTCGTGGCTGTTCAACTTCCAATCCAGCTTCCTGCTAATGTGCCTGCAAAGACAGCAGATGATGGCCCGAGTACCTGAGTCCCTGGCACCTGTGTGGGAGACTTGGGTGCAGTTCCTGGCTTCTGGTTTTGACCTGGCCCAGCCCTGGATGTTACATGCAGCCTTTTGGGGGGTAAGCCCGTGGGTGGAAGATTTCAGTCTCTCTCCATCTTTCTCTCTTTCTCTCCCTCTTTCTCTGTTGCTCTGCCTTTCAAACAAATAGTAAATAAATCTTTTTTTTTTAAATCCCAGCATTGAAAATATAGACTTCTTGTAGCTTTTAATAAAAATAATAATAATGTAATAGTCTAGAACTCTCTGAAGTAAGACTTGAGGCATGAACAGCAGGAGCCCAGAATCTTACCTACACAAACTCACTTTCCGTTGATTGTATCACCATTTACTTTGACACATAATGGAACACATCACCTTCCTTTGTGGAAATTGTGTTTATAAAACACTAAGCTGATACTGCAAAGTCAGGCTGTACCCAAACCTTGAGAATAGAGCTTTTCCGCAGAGAAATCTGTGCCTGTGGTGCAAATGTCTTCATGCGTGTTTTAAAATGCTTGTTTTGCTTTATTTTTAAATAACATATAGAAAGTTTTACACATGGGCTTGGGGCCCAAAGTGATAATTATTTTTAAAAAATGTTATTGAGACAGAATTCACATATATTTGGATATAAAATTCACACTTTGAAGTGAACAATTGAGTGAGTTTTAGCCTATTCACAAGGTTGTGCAACCATGACCACAATTAAAATAAAACTGTTCTCATAAGCATCGTTCCTCACGCCATCCTTCCTGCTTCCCCTGACAGCGCTAACCCACTCTCTGTCTACGACTGCCTGTCCCGGGTCCTTCACACAAATGAGATTCCATTACACTTTGTGGACCTTTCTGTCTGGCTTCTTTCACCTAGCCTAATGTTTCCATGTGAGAAAACCAGTTTTAGAAAAGTGAAATTCATACTGGCTGATGAAGTATTAAATGGAGGTCATTCTTTCTAAATCCAGGAAATTGAAAAACACGAGAGGATCTATTAGGAGCAGAGAGCAATAGGATGGATTTCTGGTGGAGATCAGGGAGTGGAAACATTGAAAACGGAAAGAAAAAGGAAAATCCAGGAAAGCAGAGCTGTGTTGACTGAAATCGGTTTCATGGACAAGGCTTTTCAAGTTTACTTTTTTGATGAACTGGAAACATGTCATTCTAGAAGCAACGTGGTCGGTCCTATTTTGGTCATTGTGTATTCTCTTGGCTCTTGGGGGTCAAACTTCTCAGATACAGACTCCTTTTGTTATCTGACAAAATTGTGCTGGGTCACGTGTTCATTTTTTCTTTTTCGAGATTCATTTTTATTTGAAAGGCAGAGTGATAGAGAGACACCTTGCAACTGCCGATTCACTCCCCAAATGGCCACAATGGCCAGGGCTGGTCCAGGCTAAAGCCAGGAGCTTGGAACTCCATTTGAGTCTCCCATATTGGTGGCAGGGCCCAAGCACTTGGGCTGTCATATGCTGCTTTCCCAGGTGCATTAACAGGGAGCTGGATTGGAAGTGGAGCAGCCAGGACCTGACCTGTGCTCACATGGAATGCTTGGTCGTAGGTGGTGCTTAACCTGATAGACTGCAACGCCAACCCCTGTTGTTGTTTTCTATGGCATTTTTCTTGAGTGTCTGCGTGGCCTTTTGCAAAACAGTCGGTTTTCATTTTCTCCCCAAATGTTGGCAATGGACAGTTGTTTCTGCAGAGGCTACTTCCTCAGCAGCACCTGCGATCCCAAGAACCCCCAGGGACAAGGGATTTGACTGCACTCCACCTTCCAAATGCTAACTTGTCATAGGCAGGTGTTGAGGATGGCATTTGTTTTGCTTATTTTAGACCTCAGTCTTTGTGTTAGCAACTCTGCTTTAGCATATGTGTTTATCTGAACAGAATGGGAAGAAAGTGCAGCTGATTTGAATTTCAGATGACTGATGGTAATGGCATTGTGAACTTGATTATCAGCTCTTTGCCATCTCTGTCCAGGGAGGGAAGCGGTGGTACAGATAATTAAACCTTTTGTTTGACTTTGGACTGCCCTGTCATATTCTGGCAGCCCACGTTTCCCTTATATTTCTCTGAAGGAAAGCTAGCCTTTAGACAGCAGGATGCTTCCCTGGACTACTCGTAAACAGAATGTGTGGTTGTTGGGAACCGAGTTGTGGATTTCAGGCATAGATATTCTCCGTGGAGGTGACAGAGGAGATCTTGTGTGGGAATGGCTGCCGCTTTTCCATCGCGAGAGAATTAGCAGCTGGGTGTTTTCCAGGAGTCACAGAGGCTTAGAGCTCCTGTTCTGCATTTTATGGAGGCATTTGCCTTTATGTATGTTCTTAAATTTCTCACCTTCACTAAAGTGATTGCATTTAAAGAAACAAGTATTGCATTAAAGAGGAAAAATGTTCTACAAACTATGGAAGACTTCCATCTACCTCCTGGAGCTTAGCAGGGCCATTTTGTGGTGATTGTCATTTTTTTTCTTTTAAAGATAGCTAGCTAGCTAGCTAGATTTATTTATTTATTTATTTATTTGAAAGGCAGAGCGGCAGAGAGAGAGAGGGAGAGGTCTGCCATCCACTGATTCACTCTCCAAAAGGCTGCAACGGCCGGAGCTGGACCCATCCAAAACCAGGAGTCAGGAGCTTCTTCCAGGTCTCCCACGTGGGTGCAGGGTCACAAGGACTTAGGCCATCTTCCACTGCTTTCCCAGGCACATTAGCAGGAAACTGGATTGGAATTGGAGTAGCCAGGAGTTGAACCATTGCCCGTATGGGATGTCGACACTGCAGGCGGTGACTTTACCCGCTATGCCACAGTGCCAGCCCCGTGTGACTGTCATTTTTCAGCCTTTTTTATTTTTTTTATTTTTTATTTTTTTTACAGGCAGAGTGGTCAGAGAGAGGAGAGACAGGGAGAGAGGTCTTCCTTTACCGTTGGTTCACCCTCCAATGGCCGCTACAGCTGGCGCGCTGCAGCCGGTGTACCGCGCTGATCCGATGGCAGGAGCCAGGTGCTTCTCCTGGTCTCCCATGGGGTGCAGGGCCCAAGCACTTGGGCCATCCTCCACTGCACTCCCTGGCCACAGCAGAGAGCTGGCCTGGAAGAGTGGCAACCGGGACAGAATCTGGCACCCCGACCAGGACTAGAACCCGGTGTGCCGGCGCCGCAGGCGGAGGATTAGCCTAGTGAGCCGCGGCGCCGGCCCATTTTTCAGCTCTTAAAGGTCTCAGGGTTTGAGACTGAAGTGTAGGCTCTACAAGGGGTGTTCCTGGCCCTGACGTATCTGTCACAGACCTCACACGAGAACTGTGCTGCTTGAACTTCCCTGTGCCTTTCAGAGTTGGGGGAGGGGGAGAGACAGGCCATGTGCTGCCATAGGGAGAGGGGCAGGAGATAGGAGGGGAGGGGAGTTATTAAACGGAAGTGAAATGTATCGAAGAAAAGATGTCTGTTCAAGGTTGCCTGAGGCTTTGAAGGTGGAGATGTTGGAAAGAAGGGACTTTGTATTTGTGCTGCCCTTGGCATGGTGCAAAGGTGCCCTACGCAAAAGTATCTGGGCTGTTTAATGCCGTGCCAAGGTCAGCCTCCCCTGCAGCCCAGCTTCCCTTCTCTGCGGCAGGCTCTAGCCTGCGAGGGTGTCATTCGTGAGTCGTGTCATGGAAGACACAGGGTAAGGGAGTTGGACGTGTCCTCCCGTACCCGTGGTGCCTGCGTTTTCTCTTCTGCCCTGAATTCTTGTGATGCTCGGGGCTGAGGTGTCTTTTGCTTCGGGAGGGAGGGAGGGTGTTGAAGCCCTTGGAGAAGATGAGTTTTCCCCAGAGGGGAGCAAAAAGTAAGAGGCGGAGACAATCCACACGGTCAGTCAGATAGTATTTCCTGACTGTGTGCGGGGCACTGTGCTGGCCTGGGGGATCAGAGGGGACAGGGTTGGCAAACAGCTGCTTGAATAACTACTTCATTAAAGTTATGACACAGACCTCAGGGAAATGTCAGGCACTGTAAGATTATTTATCAGATAATTTTGCTGTAAAAACTCATGACCCTGTTTTGCTTAAGAGAACAAACTTTTAGAGTGAGAAGGAAGGGAACCAGGGAAAAATCAAAGGTGTCACAGCCAGATTCATGGTGCATTACAGAAACCACGGAGAGACTTCAAGGGCAAGGTTGTGGTTGCCGTGGAGATGTGAGGGCTGTGAAGGACGATGAGGCTGGTTTACTGCCTGTGGTGATTAAAATGGTCCGAGAAAAGTTTGAGGATTGAGAGCCAAATCCAAATTACAGATTAAAAAGTGAGAGAGTGGTGAAACCCTGAGTGCTGTGAGAGCTCTCAGACTTACACTGTGGCCAATTAACGTGAAATACCTTGTGATGTTCTGGTGTGTTTGCCTTGCCTGGCCGCCCCCCTCCCCCTCCCCGCTAGATTGGCAGCTCCCTAAGGGTTGGGACCAGAAACCCACACTGGTGCTGAATTAGCACGCAGCCGTCAGTCACCAGGGCAGGTCCTGGGCCTGATCATCTGTTTCCTCATCTATAAAATGGTGATATTCCTAACTCCCCCGTAGAACAGGATACACCACTCCTGGGCCTTGTGAGCGGAAAATCAGTCGGTTAATGGTAACAGCTGCTTCACTTAAAAAGTCCTGTGGTGATTGGGTTTTGGTTGTTTGTTTCAGGTTTGTTCCTTATATTGGAATTGTGACAATTCTCATGAATGATTATCCTAAATTTAAGGTAAGAATGTCTGCTATATGTTTCATTAAAACATAATCTTTCACTTAATTTTGAAACCGTTAAATGGATTGCAGTTTAAAAAATGAAGAAAGAGCCAGTTAATTCAGAAATGTGTCCTGGCCCTGAAGGCCAGCTTGTTGACTGCAGCCTTGTGGGTGTGGAGCCGCTTCTCTGACGCGTGGTCGTGTTTGTCTTCCAGTACGCCGTGCTCTTTCTGCTGGGCTTGTTTGTGCTGGTTCATCGCGAGTAAGAAGCCTGCCTTGCCGCCTCTGGGAAGATGCCGTACTTTCTGTTACCGAATGCTTGGAGTAGATTCTGGTCTCTGATTGGTGGAGTGGAGAACACACGTGTTGGCGCTTCTTGGTAGCACTGGTTTGCATTAGTTCATGTTTCCACGCCAGAGTATGTGTGGGCGGGCGCGTGTGCATCGCAGGGTGCACTCGAGGGGACTTTCAATCACAGGATTTCCTATGTTGTCATTGTCACACTTTGGCATTTTTGTACATCAGTGAATTTTTTATATTAAAAGGTTGAGCCAAAGCCCCCAGTGTTTGTATCTGAAGCCAGGCTTCACTTCTGAAGTGCCTACAGAGCTCTGCAGACGCAATGCAGCTGCCACGAGCTCGCGGCCGTCCTTCCTCCTGCCAGGGGGTGGCACGTGCTCAGGAGGTCGTCAGTCTTAACTTTGCAGAATTTTAAATAAAAGACTTTGCACATTGAACCCCTTATCCCTGAATTGTGTTTATCGGGAGAGCTCCTGAAAATTGCCTTCCGTGGCTGGTGCTTAGGACCCTGTAGGAGATGTAACGGCTTTGGTGTGAACAGTCCCCCAGAAAAGAAGGTGGCCCTACTAGGAACAAGAGTTTCTTCTTTGTTTAGATTTTGTTTTTGTGAAGCAAAAGTAGCTATTGACGTTCATAGGAAGTCTCTTAGTCATAAAATTGATTCTTCACCAGGGCGTGACTCAGATGTGTTATAAGCCCAGACAGTGTTGCTGAGAGGTTCAGAAAACCTGACTTGGCTGTAAAAGCTCACAGCCTTTCTGAACTGGAGACACCTTCAGCTCTCCGTGATGGCAGTGGGCGCTAGCGGCTGCAGGAGCTGGGGGAGGGGTGCTGGAGAGCAGGCGTTCTCCTGTTGTCTTTGGTTTTTGAAGATGTATTTATTTATTTGAAAGCAGAATTACAGGTAGGAGGGAGAGAGATCTGGCTTTCGTCTGCTGCTTTACTCGCCAAATCACTGCAACAGCCAGGGCTGGGCCAGACTGAAGCCAGGAGCCTCTTCCAGGTCTCCCATGTGGGCGGCAGGGCCCAAACCTGTGGGTCTCTTCCTGCTGCCTTTCCAGGCACATTAGCAGGGAGCAGGATCAGAAGTGGAGCAGCGGGGTCTCCAGCCGGTACCCATGTGGGATATCAGTGTGGCAGGCGGCGGCTTGACCCTCTCCTGTTGCCTTTACATTTTGATTGGCCTGACCGTGTTGTCTTTTAAGTGTCTGGCATGGCTCTCCTCTAAGGTAGACTCGAAGAAGGCAGAGTTGAAAGTAGGCAGTGCAGAGCCCAGCTCATGGCAGGCAGGCAGGGAAAGAGCAAATAGTAGAGTGAGCACGAAATGCCTGTGATTCTATCTGTTCTCTTGTGTTACTGTGAAATTGCAAAGTAAGCAAGCTTTCTGTGTTGGGCTCCGTGAACGGTTTCTGTTATTTGTTCAGCCCATGCTATAATGTTAATGGAATGAAGCCTCCTCTGTAGAGACCAGTGCCACCCTACATCCATTAACGAGGCTTTAGCCTTCATACCTTGGATGTGGGATCTTAATGATCTCAATAGAGTAAGACACTTGGCAAGTCACCGCTACCAAATGCTTTTGGAGCCTGGCTGTAAGGCTTATATAGTACTAAATTTTCTTAGGAGCCATTTGGGGTTCTGAAACAGCCTCTATGTGGAATGGGAGGAAATCTCAGGCTGGTGTTTTGGCTCAGCTGGTTGGGCCTCCGCCGCCCACGCCAGACCCACCTGGACCCCAGTTCAGTTCCAGCTGCTCCACTTTAGATCCAGCTCGCTGCGGGTGTGCCTAGAAGAGCAGCAGAAGATGGTCCAGGTGCTTGGGCCCCTGCACTTGGAAGACCCACAAGGAAGACCTGGATGAAGTTCTTGCCGCCTAGCTTCTGTCTGGCCCCTGCCCCAGCTGATGTGGCTATTTGGGGAGTGAACCAGTGGATGAAAGATCTCTTTCTCTCTCTGTCTCTCCCTCTCTTTGTCACTCTTTCAAATAAATAAATACTTTAAAAGAGAGAGAGAGATGACAGGGCAAGTAGGAAGTTAGGAGGGCTTACCTATTATGAGAATTGAAAAAACTTGACATGAGAATTTGATAATGGGATTGCCTCTTGGCTGTTACTCATCCTTTCTCATAACTTCAGCTAATGTCTTCATGTCATTTCCAAGCTTCCGCCCTTAGCCCTGCCCTGTGTCTCTGTTGCCACTGGATACTTGCCCTTGATTGTTCTTGTTCAAGCTCAATGTTTCCTCTGATCTTCCTCTCCAAATTTCACATTTTCTGTGAAGGAGTATTCACATAGACTTTTCATCTTCCTACCATGTCCAGTCATTTTAATTTTTAAAATGTATTTATTAGACAGATCTTGTCCCCTTTGCTAGTTCACTCCCCAGATGCCTACAATGGCCAGGGCTGTGCCCTGCCAAAGCTGGGAGCCAGGAACTCGATGAAGGCCTCCCGTATGGATAGAAGGGACCCAACTCCTTGAGGTGCACGTTAGCAGGAAGCTGAGTTGGGAGCACAGCTGAGACTTGAACCAAAGCAGTCCAGTGTGGGACGTGGGCATGCCAACTGTAGTTCCAGCCTCTTCCTAAGTCTGGCATTCACCCTCATTGCTGTCCCCCAAATCCAGAAACATACATTCCCCCAGCGTGTCACTCTTTGCCTGTTATAGTAGATTACCACCTGTTAATTAGTTTTAAGGTGTATTTTACTTTCAAAAGTGACTTTTTTTTTTTAAGAGTGTTTTTTTCTTTATTTGAAAGGCAGAATAATAGAGAGAGGGGAGAGACAGAGAAAAGGATCTTCCATCTCCTGGTTCACTCCCCAAATGACTGCAGTAGTCAGGGTCAGGCCAGGCCGAAGACCAGAGCCTGGAATTCCATCCAGTTCTTCCACATGGGTGGCAGGGACCCAAGGACTTGGACCGCCTCCCAAGTGCATTAGCAGGGAGCTAGGTCAGAAGCAGAGCAGCGAGATTCGACCAAAGATCTGATACAGAATCTCACATTGCAGGCAGTGGCTTAACCTAGTGTGCCACAATGCTGGCCCGGTGTGCTCTTGTTAAAACCAGAAGTGTTGTGCTTGCCCTTCTACATCGTAAGCTCCTCCAGTGCAGAAGCCCCATCATACGGACCCTCTACTACTTGTTTCCCTGGTATCATAAAGCAAAGTGGATGAACTATTCAGCATGATCGTGCTTTGGAGCTGCAAGCACTAACTTAGGTTAACATTGTTGTTGAGCTATTGTTCTGGGCAGAGAACATGAATCATTTAAGTGATTTGTACTTTCCTGTTGTGTAGTAAGTATATTCTCTTGGTCTTACCAGACTTGAATCTGAAAACTTCATCTCTTCATGGTTCTCTTTCCAACTTTTTAGTGTTAATCATGCTCTCCTTTTCTGTCTGTGTTCCTGGACTCTGTGTGTCTTCTTTCTTGATGGACGAAGTACTGACATTTGTCACTTTTCCTAGGGAGTCACAGGTTTCTCAGCCCTGGGCTTTCTTGTGTGTTTTCCTTGGTATTTACATAAGTGTATATTTGCATATTTTCTTGGTATTTGCATAAGTGTTTGATCAAGTTCAGCTTCCCTCTCAGAACATGGTAGGAGGCATTTTAGCATCTGCTCACGCCCCTCCCCCCTTATGACCTTTATCAGTGTACAGCCTCAGAGATGATCCCGCTGATTCTAGCTGGTGCTCTTGCACATCGCCATGGCCTGTTCTGGCTGTTGCCTGGCCAGGTGTGTCTTCCTCATTACTTCCAGCCCTTGGTAGAGTCATCAGCAATACCAGGTGAGTTTTCAGAATTAAAGCAACAAATATGAACCCTCACATACAACTGTGGTGGGTCTGGACATGAAAGAATGCTGTGTAACCAAGAAGTGGTATAGAAACTAGAATGTGCAGGGCTTACCAAAAAATGCTGAAAACCTTGCCTTCCAGGTGCTATTCTGGGCCCTCAGGATTTTCCCAGCCACAGCCCTCCCCAGACTGCACGTTCTTGCACCTGGCCTTGGCCTTACTGCACAGATGTTTCATCTCCTCTTGAGCCAGTCACACCACCTGCTGAAAGCTTCTCATTCACTCAGTGTGCTTTCTTGAGCATCTACGCTGTACACGTGTTGGGCTAGGCCGGGGGATGCAAAGACGAGTGAGGCAAGATCTCCTGCCCTGCCAAGGCTGTGATGCCTTCCCTAGGCAAATTTTTCCACCCAGCATCCCAACTACAGCAATCGGGACATGCACAGAGGGCCCCAGCAGGGGGAATTTCCTGTTCTTTTTTATTTGAAAGGCAGAGTTAGAAGAAGAGACAGAGAGGGAGAGAAATCTCTGTCTGCTGGCTCACTCCCCAAATGGCCACAATGGCTGGAGCTGCGCTGATCCAAAACCAGGAGCCAGGAACTTCTTCTGAGTCTTACACATGGGTGCAGGGGCCCAAGCACTTGGCCATCTTCTGCTGCTTTCCCAGGTACATTAGCAAGGAGCTGGATCTGAAGTGGAAAGCTGGGACTCAAACCAGTGCCCATATGGGAAGCCAGCATTGCAGGCAGCGGCTTTACCCACTCACCACAGCGTTGGCCCCAGTTTCCTGTTCTTGACTGAGCTCTGGAGTGTGCACTTCCTGCTCAGGCTGTACTTGGTTCTTGACCCTCCTTATCAGCATTGCCACAGAGTGGCTGTGTGTGTCCATCTCCCGCCAGTCAGCAAGACATGTCTTTAGGAAACAAGACATAACTAGCCTAATGATTTTCATAGAGCTATTTCTCTTTTTTTAAGACTTTTTTAAAATTTTATTTGAAAAGCGTTGTTACAGAAAGAGGAAGAGATAAAGAGAAAGGTCTTCCATGCGGTGGTTCACTCCCCAAATGGCTGCAACCACCAGGACTGGGCCAGACTGAAGCCAGGAACTTCATCTGTGTCTCCCATGTGGGTGCAGGGGCCTAAGTACTTGGCCATTTTCTGTTGCTTTCCCAGTTGCGTTAGCAGGGAGCTGGATCGAAAAAGGAGCAGGTGCCAACGCTGTGGCATAGTAAGCTAAGCTTCCACATGTGGCGCCAGCATCCCTTATGGGCACTGGTTCCAGTCCTGACTGCTCCTCTTCCGATCCTGCTCTCTGCTATGGCCTGGGAAAGCAGCAGAAGATGGCCCAAGGCCTTGGGCCCCTGCACCCGTGTGGGAGACCCAGAGAGGCTCCTAGCTCCTGGCTTCAAATCAGCCCAGCTCCAGCTGTCGCAGCCATTTGGGTAGTGAACCAGCAGACAGAAGACCTTTCTCTCTGTCTCTCCCTCTGTCTGTAACTCTACCTCTCAAATAAACAAATAAATAAAATCTTTAAAAAAAGAAAAAGAACATGGAGCCGCCAGAACCCGAGAACCATATGGGATGCTGGCAGTGCGGGCGGCAGCTTAACCCTTTATGCCACAATGCCGGCCCATAGAGCTACTTCAGAGGATGCTCCGCAGTATCAGTGTGGACTGGCAACTTCTGCGAGAAGCCGTCTCCTGCAAGGCCAGCCAGGAATCTTCGTCTGTCCTGTGAGCAGTGTTCGGTGATTTTTTTAAAACTTATGGCCTCTTTTAGGAAACAGAATTTTCGTTCCTGCTCTTTTTTCTTATAAGCCTTCCTCCCTCCAGTCTGTAACCAACCTCTTATCCTTTATAGCCAAGAATATTTTGTCTTGCTTTTCCCTAAGTTATATTACAGAAGCAACAGTTACTGTCTTCCCAGATACAGTTTATGTTATACCAAATATGACTTTCACATTATACTCATATATCATATCCTTGTTTTACCAACCTTCAGAGTTTCTGGAATGCTACCTACTCTGATTTAAGGGTCATTTCTCTACAGCCATTGCTTTCAATGGCTCATCTTTTAGCTTGGTAAGCTGGATTCCAGCTTGAGTTCAAAGAGTATAGTTAGAAGATTTTATGCTTAGGATTTATGTCTGGTAAGTTAGTAACTCGGCTGGCATCAGGCTTTCATCAGAGCTCTTAGCCTGACATCCCACATTAAGCTAAAAAAGAGAGAATATGGTATAGAGTTCTTTTCTCGGAATTAGTCAAGAGTTGAAGTGGATGTGCTGGTATTTAAGTTTATCCAACAGCTTGGAGTGTAATAGGCATTTTGCCAGGGCTGGGCACTGTGGTGTCAGTGCCACGGCCTTAGCTGCTATTGAGGGCTCCAGATTTTAAGCAGGCTTTGCTTTTCCCAGGACCCAGTTAATAACATGAGTACTTAGAATATGCCAGGTGCTAGGGGGCTTTATCGTTTATAGCAAACTTTGACTTTCTCGCATTTAAAAAGCCTCAAAATGACCTCTGTTCTACAAGAGAACCCAGGAGAAATTGAAGGGATTTGCGCAGGGTCCTTTGACCCACGCACGGCAGAGCCAGACTTGAAAGTCTGGCCATGCTGGACACCATAACCCAGTCCTTCTATCCTTGCAAAGTTGAATGGGACTTATTTGCAGTAAACCCCGAGATTATAACCCCTTGGGAATTCTTTAGCGGCACTAGGTTTTCCTTCCTCTGATTTGTTCTGTAAATCTCTTAGAAGTAGATTCTCTGGCAGATTAGAGTGGAAAGAATAGTTATTTCCCTTTTTATTTTTTTTATTTTTTTATTTTTATTTTTTTTTTTTTTTTTTTTTTTTTTTTGACAGGCAGAGTGGACAGTGAGAGAGACAGAGAGAGAAAGGTCTTCCTTTTGCCGCTGGTTCACCCTCCAATGGCCGCCGCTGCAGCCGGCGCACCGCGCTGATCCTGGCAGGAGCCAGGAGCCAGGTGCTTTTCCTGGTCTCCCATGGGGTGCAGGGCCCAAGCACCTGGGCCATCCTCCACTGCACTCCCTGGCCATAGCAGAGAGCTGGCCTGGAAGAGGGGCAACCGGGACAGAATCCGGCGCCCCAACCGGGACTAGAACCCGGTGTGCCGGCGCCGCAAGGTGGAGGATTAGCCTATTGAGCCACGGCGCCGGCCCGCCCTTTTTTATTTTTATTTTTATTTTTATTTATTTATTTATTTATTTTGACAGGCAGAGTGGACAGTGAGAGAGAGAGACAGAGAGAAAGGTCTTCCTTTGCCGTTGGTTCACCCTCCAATGGCCGCTGCGGCCGGCGCGCTGCGGCTGGTGCACCGCGCTGATCCGATGGCAGGAGCCAGGAGCCAGGTGCTTTTCCTGGTCTCCCATGGGGTGCAGGGCCCAAGCACCTGGGCCATCCTCCACTGCACTCCCTGGCCACAGCAGAGAGCTGGCCTGGAAGAGGGGCAACCAGGACAGAATCCGGCGCCCCAACCGGGACTAGAACCCGGTGTGCCAGCGCCGCTAGGTGGAGGATTAGCCTAGTGAGCCACGGCGCCGGCTAACCCTTTTTTATTTTTTAAAAAGATTTATTTTTATTCATTTGAAAGGCAGAGTTACAGAGAGAGGGAGAGACAGTTCTTCTATCCACGGGTTCATTCCCCAAATGGCTGCCATACCCAGGGCTGGGTCAGGCTGAATCCAGGAGCTTCATCCAGGTCTCCCACGTGGGAGTAGGGGCCCAAGCACTTAGGCGATCTTCCACTACTTTCCCAGGGGCATTAGCAGGGAGCTGGATTGAAAGTGGAGCTGCCAGGACCTGAACCCACGTTCATATGGGACGCTGGCGTGGCAGGTGGCCGCTTAACCCACTGTGCCACAACACCAGCCCTAGGAGTAGTTATTTCAGTTACAGAGTGTGCCCTGAAATACATGACTACTACACTCCAGTTGTGCCAAACACTGGGCCTGTGGCCTCTCCCTTTCCTGGGTTTCCAGAGCTTTCCTGCTCACTTGCACCAGTTAGCTCAGCAGTAGCCTCTTTTTTAAAAACATATTTTTTTATTTATTTATTTGACAGGAAGAATTATAGACAGTGAGAGAGAAAGACAGAGAGAAAGGTCCTCTCTCCGTTGGTTCACTCCCCAGGTGGCTGCAATGGCCTGAGCTGCGCTGATCCGGAGCCAGGTGCTTCCTCCGGGTCTCCCATGCCAGTGCAAGGGCCCAAGCACCTTGGCCATCCTTCACTGCTTTCCCAGGCACTGGGAGCTGGACTGGAAGAGGAGCAACCAGGACTAGAACCCGGCGCCCATATGGGATGCTGACGCTGCAGGCAGAGGATCAACCTAGTGCGCCACCACACGGGCCCCAGCAGTAGCCTCTTAGCCACCTTTGGGATCCCTCACATTCTCCTAGGTGCAGCTGGTTTCTCTTCGGAAAGCTGCCTTTTGGTGGTTTAGTTTCTGCAAGATCTCCTTCTTACTGGTGTGTTCTGATGTGAGAGCCCCTTTGAGTTCTCATTGACTTTGGCAAATTGTATCACACGTCCCAGATTCTCTTCTCCTCCCTCCAAGATTGTGCTGTTCTGAAACTCAGCAGTAGGATCTGCACTGTCCCAAGCTCCCTGTGCCTCTGCTGTCCCCGTCCTGGTCCCCATGGGTGGAGGCGGGTCTGGAGTTTGCAGGGTGGAGGTTTTTTTTTTTTTTTTTTTTTTGACAGATAGCGTCAATGCCATGGCTGGCACTGCGCTGATCCAAGTCAGGAGCCAGGTGCTTCTTCCTGGTCTCTGATGCAAGTGCAGGGCCCAAGGACTTGGGCCATCTTCCACTGCCTTCCTGGGCCACAGGAGAGAGCTAGACTGGAAGAGGAGCAACCGGGACTAGAACCTGGCACCCACATGGGATGCCGGCGCCGCAGGCGGAAGATTAACCAAGTGAGCCACGGCACCGGCCCCCGAGGGTGCAGATTTTACCCCCTGCTGTCTGTCAGGAGTAGCACTTGGCCTGTGCTTCCCTCTCATGGGGCTTGTTTATGTCTAAGTTAAATTTCTCCATCTCCCTTTCTCCATTGTTCCGTGTATCTGAGTCCACACTCTGGTTTTCTCCCTTTGTTTAGTTTGTCTGTCCTACTTGAGTATACTCATCCAGAAAATGGGTACAGCACTGGTCCTTGCTGTGTCCAGCAGTGCTGAGGACACACATCTGGGAGACCAGAGAAAAGCCAAGTCAGGAAAAGGTGTTACTTGTAATCGATTCCAGTTTAATGAAAATATAACAAAACATTAACACACATGTGCTTCATCTCAAACTATTTCTGATTTACAGTCATGGTGCAGCTTGATGTCTTGTTGGTGTTGGTAATCATCGGATTTCCCAAGTGTCGTTAATCACCCTTGGGACTGGCCTGTGGGCCCTCTCCGCATTTTCTGTGTTGTTCTAGAATGAAGAGCTTCTGCACGCAGGTCCACATCCATCCTGTTCACAGTCACCCTTTCTTTCCCTGTGGGAAGCAGGCCTTTGGGCTTCTGCCATCAGAGTGGACGGAGGGAGTAGGCTTTTGGCAGACAGTGCTGGGCCTCCTGCTAAACCCTGCCCAGCACTGCCCCGGGCAAGCCACCCTCGGCTCTGCCTGCCAGTCCCCGCCCTCCCACCCCCCAGGCAAGCCAGAGCTGCTCTGTCCATGGACGTTCTGTAGCTGGCTGCGGCTGCAGGCTCCTCACAGGCCGCCTTGTTCTCGGGCTTCTGTGGCCAGTTGTGGAGCCGTGCTGGGAGCTGGGAGCTCAGCTGGGTCAAGGGAGGCTCGGTTGAAGTAGAACCAAAGGTCCAGGGCTCAGCTGCAGGAGTGAAACCTAAAATGCGGCGCCCACTCGCCCACGCCACGGAGGTCTGAACCTGACTGGCTGTTGCAGTGGGGCGGAGGCGGTGTGCTTTAGGGAAGTCGGTGCCTGCCCTGAAGTCTGATTCCAGGCCGAGTGCCAACCCCTCTGAGCCTGCTTCTACCTAAACGTGAGAAAGCAAAACTTACCAAAGATTGCTTGGAGCATGTAAGTGAGGCAGCACTCACCAAATACCAGCTCCTGTGTGTTGTAGACCAGAGACCACAGGATGGGGGCGAGAGGGATGCAGAGGAAAGGGAGGGGTCGCAGAGGGAATGGTTATTATGGGAAGGTGAGGAGAGCTATATCTGTACAGCATGGCTAAGCTGTGACAAGAAAGCAGAGAGGTGCAACTGCCAGAGTGGGGGTGAGAAGCAGGAAGACAGGGCAGAAAGCCAGGCCGGAAATGGAGTGTCCCCATACCGTGTGTCACACGCTCCTGGAAGCTGAGCCCGACGCCCAGCTCCTTGGGCAAACGGCTCTCTCAGGGACGGATCTGAGCTGCATACAGGCAAAAGTAGTAAGAGCGGTGCGGTTGCTGAGCCAGCCAGGAGCAGGTTCTGGCACAGCCGCCTGTGCATCGTTCCAGGGACGGGTCCCTGTGGCTGGGCCACAGCCTCTGCATCCTTCGCTCTCAGCGGGTCTCCCGTGGCTGAGCCACAGCCTCTGCATCATTCACTCTCAGTGGGTCTCCCATGGCTGGGCCACAGCCTCTCCATCATCCGCTCTGTGCACCGTGCCCCACAGAGAGCTTCGTCTCCCCCTCCTGGGCCTAGCACAGTGCTCAGCCAGCACTTAGCAGAAATCAGCGGCGCTCTCCTGGAGCACCACGCCTTCCCCCGCTCCCGAAGCCGTGCACTGCTGCAGTTCTTTGCCCGGCAAGGCCGGCAGCGCCTTGGAGGACCACAGGGCTGCTGGGGAGGGCAGCTCCTGGGAGGCTGCTGCTGGCTGGCACAAGATAGGTGTGCTGCCAAGTGTAGAATTATTACAAATAGGGCAGTGCAGTTATTACCAACGTCCTTTCATATGGACTTATGATCCAGTGCTCTCTCCACTCCGACCTGCTCTGCCTCCTGCCCAACTCCACATCCCAGCACAGAACCTTGGTAAAGCACCCGGGGACACAGGTCCAGTGCCCCGAGAGGGAAGGGGTGATGGAGCTCATCTGGTGCCTGGCAATGCTAACCAGGACTGTTGAAGTGCCTGAGTCGCCCAGGCGCGGCTCTGAAAGCCGGTGGAGCGGCCACGGGGTCCCGGGAGTTCCTCTGGGCTTCCCGACCCCTGCTCTCCGCGTGCCGGGACCTCAGCGTGAGGGCGTGGGCTCGGGCAGTTCACTCTGGACCGCCGCCTGAAGGGTCCTGCGGGCGGCGGCGGTGGCGGCGGCGGCGGCGGCGGCGGGGCGGGCTCGGGCTCCGCGGGGGCAGGCTCCGCCTCCGGAGGCGCGGGTTTAAAGCCGGGAAGGCGAGGAGCGCCGGAGCCAGCCGCCGCCGCCGCACAGCCATGGGCCGGCGGCCGGGGGGCGCTCAGCCGCTGGGCGGCCTCCTGCTGCTCGCCCTGCTCGCTGCCGGCGTGGCCCCGCTCAGCTGGGATCTCCCGGAGCCCCGCGGCAGAGCTGCCAAGATCCGAGTGCACCCGCGGGGCAACCTCTGGGCCACCGGTGAGTCTTCGGGGCAGCGGGCGCCCCTCACCCTGCTCTGATTCCCCCTGCAGCCCCTCGTCCTGGGGACTGCAGGGAGCAGCTGGGCCCCTTGGGCTCCTCCCGTTCAGTAGAGGGGAACTTGACACGCACACAGGTGAGCGCGCAGGGGCAGGGCTGGCCTGGGGCCCAGATCTGCCTGCCAAGTGCTGCTCCTTCCCTCGGGCTTGGATTTGTGCATCCTCCAGGCTCTGGCGTATCTCCTTCCCTGCCCTCCCCTCCCTGTGCTCGGCCATGCAGGCGGCAGGACGGACAGTTTTCCCCAGTTGCTGGGCCCCCTTCTGCACTGGTTCTGGAAGAGCCGAGGTGCTGGGCCTTGCCACACCCAGACACCTCGGTGGGTCTTGGTGAGGAGGGGGAAGGTGGTGTCTTCCTGCTGCGAGAGCCAACTATGGGAGTGATGGGGAACTTCCCCGCTGGGGTAGAATCCTCACTCCCTGGCTTCCTTGGGCCTCGACACCTCCTTTCCAGGTCACTTCATGGGCAAGAAGAGTCTGGAGCCCCCCAGCCCATTCCCACTGGGGACCACTCCCCCCACCGCCGTGAGGGCCCAGAGACTGCAGCTGAGTCATGATCTGCTCCGGATCCTCCTGCTAAAGAAAGCTCTGGGCCTGAGCCTCAGCGGCCCAGCAGCCCAGACCCAGGTGAGCCAGGCCCCACCCCAGCCAGGACCAGGAGAGCTCAGCCAGGGCCCGCCCCTTGGTCCAGCATGGAGGAGCTGTCATTGCCATGGGGTATCATGGCCTGGCCAGGGCGAGGTGGGTGTGGAGAGCCGGGAAGAAGGAATGCCGGGTTATCCCTCTATCCCAGGGCTCAAAGAGCAGGGCACTGGCCAAGGGAAGCTGACCCTCCCTGCAGACCCCATGGCACAAGCCCCCCCACTCATCACCCAGTCCAAGGTCAGACAAGGAGCAGACAGCCACTAGCAGCAGGACCTGTCCCCCAGGCCCAACAGCCTTGTCCCACTCCATCGGCCCCTGCTCTTTTGGCCACATCCATCCTTACTGCGCCCTGCATGTGCTGTGGCTGGAGCTGGGACCCTGAGTGCCTGCTTCTGTAGCCAGCGGCAGGGCTTGGGCCGTGCACGGCAGTGTCCGTCGCTGATCACCACCCGACACATGCTAGCAGAACCCCCCACCCCAGATTGTGACAGGCGGACAGGCCCCCAGCCTGTCACCAGATGTCCTCGGGGGTGGGGGGAGGGAGGAAGGTGCCCTAATCATTCTCGGTTATAATCCACTGACCTATGCAGTTCAGTCCCAAACTAAAGCCAAGCCAGCCACAGTGTCTGGTCTGGTTGAGCAGCTTCTCTGCTCCCTGCTCCTGGTGCTGTCCCACTGTGCACTACGGTGCCCCGGGCTCGTGGCTGTGTGCAGAAGGTGGGCTCTGGCCAGGTGAGCCCTCCTGACCCAGCTGCTTAGTAGCTGTGTGACCTCAGAAATCTCAGCCTCCTCCCCCTCATCCGTAAGTGGAGAGGGTAATGGGCCCATCTCTCACTGAGTGAGACCATTTATGTCATGCGCCCAGCGCGATGCTAGTATGTAGACAGCCCTGGGTAAGTGGGGGCTGTTAGCCGTCTGGGAGCTCCGGGCAGTGCCTGCTGCTGTCCCCTTCGCATCCTCACTGTGCCTTGCATAGGGTGTGTACATTATGGAAAGAGGGAATGGCATTCCCTGGGGAAGGTTCAACCTCAGCCCCAGCCAACACCCCTGACTCCTGAAACACTGAAGGCCCCCAGCCCTCCTCAGATGTGACGGCTAAGGGTCTGAAGGGGAACCGTGTCACCCGCAGGGCTTGCAGCACGAGAATCTCAGGGGCAGCACACCTGGCCGGGAGCAGGTGGGACATCAGTGGGGCCTGGGCCGGAGCTGGGGACGGGAGGGTCAGGACACTGACACTGGGTGGTGCCAAGCACTGGGATCTGACTTCACATTCCCCCTTAGAGTGTGGCGACTGTGCTGTGAGGTTGGGGCTATAACTCTCAGGACACCACGGCCGGTGACTCCTTCCCGGGCCCTTCAGGGAGAGCCGTGCTAGGGGTCCTGCCCTGCCCACCTCTGCAGGTGCCTGGCACTTAGGAGTGGCAGGAGGCTCCATTCGTGGGCGGCGCCGCGCCCCCACCCCGCCTTGCCAGATCAACTCTTCTGTGTTTTCATTCAGTACAGGAGGCTTCCGGTGCAAATACTGCAGAAGTGATGCCAGCAGCAGCTCACCTTAGACTGTGCCGGCCCGGGGGAGGTGGCAGTGCCGCCTGGATGTAAATGCTGGGCGCCAGTCCGTCTCTGCACTGCTGGGATTCCTGACGGGCGCCAGAGCTGGCGGGACGCACACGAGGTTATATCCCTGCTGTATCGGTTGCTCCCCTGTTGAAGCTGTGAATAAAAACCCTGCTCTTCACACAGAATGCGTGGTCCTCTCCTTCCAGCTAGGTTTGAGGGAGGGCGGGAGAGGGGCCGGGAGACAGACGGGGCTGGAGCACTTGGCGCCATGGCCCAGCCTGGCACTGACTCCTGCTCAATCAAGCTACGCCTGCGGTACGCCTGGTCTCCCGTGTCCCTGCCTGCGCGGCACTGCCGGGCTTGCCCCTCTCATTTCTTCCCCACGCCAGGCTTTGAGAGGGCGGGCGCCCCCCTACCCTCCTCGCTGGCATTCAGCAGGGAGGCTGCAGAATCCCAGTTCAGACGGGCGCTCCGGTGTTAGTACAGGGGGCTGGGCTGCCACACACGGCCGGCGAGTATTTGGGCCCTCCGGCATCGGGGAATCCCCGATTTTACGTCACTTTCCCCGGGGCTGCCGCCCGGAGAACCCCGGACACTCCCAGTCCCAAAAGCGACGCGTGGGGATCCGCGGTCCGATCCCTTCGGCCCCGCCCCCGGGCGGGAGGCCACGCCCAGGTCTCGCGAGAGCGCGGCGGCTGTCCTTCCGCTCGGCAGCGGAAGTGGGGTGTCGGCAGCGGCCGTTGCCATGGAGTCCGCGGAGGACTGGCTGGTGGAGTCCTTGCGTTTGTGAGTCGCGCGGGGCTGTGGGTCGGGCTCTGGGCCTGGAGCTGGAGGGATGGGCGGATGGGTGCGGGTGGAGGAGCGCAGCGAAGGCTGGGGGAGGCTGGGGCGATGCGGAGGACTCCGCCCGGCCGCGACGCCTGCACATGGCCCCTCCGCGCGCCTGTGGCTTGTGTGAGGTGCTCGTGGGAGCGGCGCGTGTGGCCGGCGCGTTCGCTCTAGCCTCGGAGGTTAGTCCTGGACCCAGATGTCTCATTGATGCCCCACATCAGCCTGGGGAATCTGGCTGGCCTGGGAGTTACTCAGGACCGAGGCGTAGGGACGTTACGCCGCTTGCTGGGCCAGACACGGAGCGAACGCCCGACGAGACTCGGCCCCACGCCTGCTGACGCCAGAGCCTGGGCCCCATCTGTGAGTTCTGGGGCACCGAGTGGTTTGTGTGTCCTTCATTGTGCAGGTACCAGGATTTCCATGCATTCGACCTGTCGGGAGCCACTCGAGTCCTTGAATGGATTGGGAACAAAGGTGATCTGTCCCCCAAGCAGGTGGAGTCGCACTGTCTCAGGGACTCCGCCCCTGGCAGCACTGGGGCGCCCGTCCGTGCTCCCTTGTATAATCCCCTTACTCAGCTCGCCCATCGTCTGGGGTTGCGTGCCAGCATGGGGAAGACTTGGCGGGAGTTTGTGAACTCCGCGGTGGTCTGCAGTCTCACGGTCTCACGCTGCTTCTGCCTTTCTCCAGGAGTCTTTGTTGCTGGCTATGAAAGCCTGAAAAAAAACGAGATTCTTCATCTCGTATTGCCTCACCGACTTTCTGTAAAGGAAAACCAGGTAACTTGAAATATGCGTGTGTTGACTTTTATTTATGAAGCATTTGTGGAGGTTGTATTGTCTATCAGGTAATGCCCTGGATGAGAGAGAGAGAGAGAGAGAGAGAAGCACTGTGCCAGTCCTTCAGTGTAATAGAGGGAGGTAAATGCTTAGAGTTGAATGCTAACGTGGTTTATGTGGGGCTACTGGAGCGAGAAGCTGATTTTAGTTTATCAAAACTAAATGGTTTCGGAAACCGTCAGGGGATGGGATGGTTCCACTGGCCTAGGATTAGTGTGTGGTGGGTAAGGAATCAGAGATGACAGCTAAGGATAGAACCTCCCAGAGCACACTGGTACCGTGAACGCTCAGGGTCTCTGAGATAGGAGGAGTCGGAAAAAGGCCAGTGTTTCAGGAGCCAAGAGAAGAACCCCTGGCCAGGAGAAGAGAGTTGGTGACTGCCCTCGGATGCTGGGGAGTGGCTGGGTTCGCTCAGGAGACTGGCATTTGGGAAGTTCGCGGTGACGTCGGCTGCAGTGTTTTTGGTGAGGGCAAATATTGAGAGGAAGGAGGCCATGCCATCGGGAAGTGCCGGGAGGGAAGAAACCAGCCCCTGCCCCTGTCTGGGACACAGATTCCAGGGAGAGTGTCCCCAAGCAGGGCCCGAGCAGAGTGACAAGCCGTGGGGAAGAAAGCCCTGAAGGAGGAGAGGATGTGCGGGAGAGAGGGAGGGAGGGAGGGAGCAGCGCCCTGGACACGATTCTGCCTCCAGGGGTACAGGGTGACAAGAGAGGGGACTCCAGGGCTTGGTGATCGTCAGGAGACAGGAGGGGCGAGGCTACCAGTCGGATAACCCATCGCGCCACAATGCCAGCCCCTGCAATTTAACTCCTCTGTGACCTTAGAGAAGTTGCCTAAGCTCCCTGTGCCTTAGGGTTGTCATGTTCAGAACAGTGCCAGCTCTGGTAGCTGCGCCACAGGGTAGTGTAAGACGTAAATGTGATAAAGCCCCAAACACAGGGCCCGGCAGAGCGAGCACGTGTTACGCAGCCGGTGTTAACGCCTGTGTAGCTGCAAGAACCCCTGGTGTCCAGGGGAGGGATGGGGAGAAGTGGGCGTGTGTTCATCGCTCCTGGATCCCTCTTGCCCTGGTGAAGCTGCCGACCCCCTGGACTCCCCTGAGAGGGCTGGAGTGTCGTGGGTGCTGGAGTGGAAGGGCCTGGCGAAACGAGGGGCAGGGCTTTGGGTGGCAGAGAAGGGGGAGAGCACCTGCGACCGACACCCATAGATAGCACACCAGGGCCCTCGGGAGGCTGAGGCTGAGTGGCCAGCTCTCATTGGCCCGTTTTGCGTTTCAGGGCTTATTCCCGGAAAGAGACTTTAAAGTGTGCCATGGAGGGTTTTCAGACAGGTGTGTTTTTGCTCTAAAGCACGTGCCAGATACCAGGTAAGGCCAGTTCTGTGGTCCGGAGCTTCCATTCAGTCCCGGGGATCCTGCCTTGTCATCACCACCCCTGCCCTTCTGCACGTGTGTGCACACAGATCTAAAATACAAAGAACCACGCCTGTGGCTTCCCACGCGCCCCTGCTGCTCTCACTGACGTACCCAGCACGGGTGTGGGATCGGGCCAGAGGGTGCCCTTCATCTCTGAGAGCGCTGATGGGGCGCTGAGGGGCCCTGGGCCAGGGCGGGTGTTCAGGTTCCCCACTAGTGTCCTCTCGAGGTGACTTGAGGACATGCGGACGGCTGGACTTAGCCCCGTGACTCCCGTGAGCTGTGTCCCTGTCCCTCAAGTGGAGTAAGCGTCTTCCTCCCCTCGTGAGCCTGGGTGGTCTGGATGAGCCTGCAGTTTCTTAGGAAACGGAGGGTGGAGGGAGCCATGCTGAGGGGCGGGCAGGGAAGGAGGGGATGTGGGTGAGCACCCACTGTCTGGACCCAGATCTCCTGTCTGTCCTGAATAGGTTGCTGGTGACCAGTGGCCTTCCGGGCTGTTACCTGGAGGTGTGGCAAGTCTCAGAGGACAGTGGTGAGTGAACTTGACTTGGTGAGGGTTGGGTTCTAGGGAGGTGTGGTGACTCTCACACCCCCCCGCTCCCCCCCCGTTAAGAAGTAGACTCGGCGCCTGGGAGTGAGCAGGCAGTATCTGCTTTAATGTAGGCGAGGTGAATTAGCAGCCACACCGCAGCTTATGGCTCCCAAACAGGGCTTCCTGTGACTTGCTCCAGGAGGTGCATTCCCCAGCCCGTATATACCAGGTAAGGCCAGTTCGCTGGGCCAGGGCAGAGCTAGGCCACTCTGGAGAGCTCACCTTTGGCCAAGGAGAAGGCAGTGAGGGGCTGGTCTCTGCGCAGGGGCGCTTGCTCGTCCCTGGGGAGGGAAACAGTGAGCGAGCACGAGGTTTGGCTGGCCGGTCTCCCACTCCAGAACTGTTCCACTTTGCCGCAAGGAATGCGGTGAGGCAGGCACAGAGCTGTCGCCCTCTGGCCTGGTCCAGTCCTTCCATCCTCCTTGGTTAGAGTTTTGTAGGCCCGCTCGCCAGTGCCTCGGAGGCGTGAGCCACTGTTCTTGAAACTGCCCTTTGGCTGTGCAGCCCTCCGCCCCAGCCCCTTCCTGCCTCACTCGGGAGCTTCGCTCAGCTCCTGTGCTCCTCGGCTCTCACTGCCCCCGTGCGCTTCCCCTGTGTTGCCCTGGCACTTGTCCGCTGGGGCTTCCAGCTGTTTGTGTCCCTTACTTACAGTTAATCGTCCCTTGGTTTTTAACAGTTTGAGGTATGTTCTACATAGCATATAATTCAGCCATTTCAAGCGTGCTTTCAGTTACTTTTTTAGTAAATTTTACAGGTTTTCCAGCCCTCACTATGAATGAGTTTTAGAACAATTTTGTTACCCCGATGAGACCCACTCTGCTGGGCTGCTGTTACGGCTTGGCAAACTGAGCTGCCCCCTGGGGCACGCGCAGCCCGTGTCAGAGCAGCAGTTCAAGTCCCGGCTGCTCTGCTTCTGACCCAGCTCCCTGCCAGTGCACCTGGGAGGGCAGTGGGCGATGGCACAAGTGCCTGGCCTCTGCCGCCCAGATGAGAGACCTGCTGTTCTGGCCATCTGGGGAGTAAGCCAGCAAATGGAGCTCTCTCTCCCTCTCTTCGTCACTCTGTGTTTCAAAGAAAGAAAGAACAAAAATAATCATCCACTATGCCATTTTCTGTTCATTCCCGTTCCTACCCCCTGTCCAGGCAACGGCGAGTCTGCTCTCTGTCCATATTGTAGACCTGTCCTCTCGGCCATTCCGCATTGGTGGAGTCAGGCCGGGTGTGGTCTCCTGCACCTGGCGCCCCTCGCTCGGCATAATGCTTGGGTCCCTCTGCATCAGGGCCTGTGTCAGTGGTGTGTTCCTTTCGTGGCTAAATAGCTTTCCGCTGTGTGAACAAGCCGCAGTCTGGCCAAGCACCAGTTGATAAATCTGTTATTTGCTAATATGAACAGTGGTGCTAAGAACATGGATGCATAAATGTTCGTGTCGATATGTTTTCATTTCTCTTGCTGGGTTGATAGTAAATTTGATTTTTTTAAGGGACCTTTCAGACTTTTCCAAAATGTCTTCATTTGCATTCCTACCACCTATGTATAATGGCTCTCATTTTTCTTTTATTAAGATTTTATTTATTGGGGCTGGCACTGTGGCGCAGCGGGTTAAAGCCCCAGTCTGCAGCACAACATCTCATATAGGCGCTGGTTTGAGTCCCGGCTGCTCCACTTCTTCTTTTTTTTTTTTTTTTTTAGGTTTATTTATTTATTTGAAAGACAGAGTTACAGAGAGACAGAGGCAGAGAGAGTGAGAGAGGTCTCCCATCTGCTGGTTCACACTCCAGATGGCTGCAATGGCTGGAGAAGCCAGGAGCCAGGAGCTTCTTCTGCATTTCCCATGCAGGTGCAGGGGCCCAAGGACTTGGGCCATCTTCCACTGCTTTCCCTGGCCACAGCAGAGAGCTGGATTGGAAGAGGAGCAGCCGGGACTAGAACCGGCACCCATATGGGATGCCAGCGCTTCAGGCCAGGCCGTTAACCCACTGAGCCACGGTGCTGGCCCCACCTGCTCTGCTTTTGATCCAGCTCCCTGCTAATGCACCTCGGAAAGCAGTGGAGGATGGGCCAAGTCCTTGAACTACTGCACCTGTGTGAGAGACCTGAAAGAAGCTCCTGGCTCCTAGCTTGGGATCAGCTCAGCTCTGGCCATTGCAGCCATTTGGGGAGTGAACCAACAATGGAAGACCCCTCCCCCGTCTCCACCTCTCTCTGTAACTCTGTCTTTCTTTTTTTTTTTTAAGATTTATTTATTTATTTGAAAGAGTTACACAGAGAGAGAAGGAGAGGCAGAGAGAGAGGTCTTCCATCTGCTGGGTCACTCCCCACTTGGCTGCAATGGCTGGAGCTGTGCCGATCCGAAGCCAGGAGCTAGGAGCTTCCTCCAGGTCCCCCGTGCAGGTGCAGGGGCTCAAGCCCTTGGGCCATCTCCCACTGCTTTCCTAAGCCATAGCAGAGAGCTGGATCAGAAGTGGAGCAGCCAGGACTCGAACCAGTGCCCATATGGGATGCCAGCACTGCAGGTGGTGGCTTTACCTGCTATGCCACAGCGCCGGCCCCTACTCTGTCTTTCAAATAAATAAATCTTTTTTAAAAAGATTTTATTTATTTGAAAGGCTGAATGACACAGAGAGAGAGAGATCTTCCACCTCCTGGTTCATTCACCACAAATGGCTACAACAGCCGAAGCTGGGCCAGGCTGAAGGCAGGAGCCAGGATCTCCTTCTGGGTCTCCCACCTGGGTGGTGGCAGGGACCCAAGTACTTGGGCCCCTGCTGCCTCCAGGCACATTAGCAGGCGGTTGGATCGGAAGCACAGCAGTTGTGACTGGAACTGGTATGGGATATGGATATTGGTGTATGGGGTACTGGTGTAACAAGTGGTGGCTTAACCCACTGTGCCCCATGGGTGGTCTCCTTATTCTGTGTTGTCCCCCACATGTTTTTGTCTTTTCATGAAACCCATTCTGCATGTCCCAAATGACAGTGATCCTGCGTGTCTTTCCCTGTGCTCACTGGCTGTCCACACACCTGGTGAGATGCCCACAGAGGTGTTGTGCACATTTTGGATCAGGCTGTTTGTCTTTCCAGTGTTGCAGAAGCTCCGTCCCTCTTGGACAGGCAGGACAGGCATCTTGTGAATGCTTTCTCCCAGTCTGTCGCCTGTGTTTCCATCGTAACAGTGTCCTGTGAAGCATACAGGTGTTCATGAGGGCCAGTTTGTCCAGTTTTCCTCTTAGAGATTATGTTTTTGTTGACATAGTTAAGAAATCTTTAACTTGTAGTGTGGGGAGCAATCCGGACTGGACTAAGTTACTGAAATTAAGACTTATTCTATGCATCTGCTCTCCCACAATATGGCGCTGGGAGAGAAGTAAACAGCTTCCGCACAGCTGCCTCCAGTTCAACTAATAAACTGTAGGACTTGCTCCTGATTGGAGGAGAGCAGCGTACTCGGCGTGTGGGCAGCCGAGTTGGGATTGGCGGAGGAGGACTATAAAGGAGGAGAGAGACGGCATGCACCGGGAACATCTATGGGGAACATCTAAGGGAACCCGTGCAGCCCCCGAGAAAGCCGGCCGGCGGTGTGCCGCTCCCCTGCGGAAGTGGGGAATGCGGCCAGGGGGAACTGCCCTTCCACGGAGGTGGAAGGGATAGTAGCCAACCCGGGAAGAACCAGCAGCAAACCCGGGGAGGGCCGAGCAGACGAAAGAACAGCGCAGGGTCCTGTGTCGTTCCTCCACGAAGAGGGGGAGCGACATTGTAGGTTATCTCTGGTTTTTTTTTTTTTTCCCCCTGGTTCCAGCATTTGGATCTCTGATCCGTCTGGAGTTGATTTTGATGTGTGGGGGGAGGGAAGAGTTGGAGTTTGTCTTTCTGCATATGAATGTCCAGGCGTCCCCATCCATGTGTCCTGTGCCCTGGCGCCTTTGTTCAAAGTGCAGATAGACACAAAGATGTCTTCCTGAACTCCAGTTCCTGTCCACTGGTCTTGAAGAGTATGTCTGTCCTTACATCATTAATGTGGGATGTTTTTATTTTCACCCAGAAACAGACTGGGTGGGGCGGCAGCGGTTTCAAGATGGGAGAAGATTCTTGAGACCACCAGGAGGTGCCTTTTGTCCTGACGGTGCCTGGGTCCCTGGCACAGAACAGGCCTGGGGGGAGCTAGTGGCCCCAGGGGGCTTGTTGTGGTACTCACACGGGTGTAGACCATCACCATGGAGTTGTTTTCCTCTGTCTGTTAATATAGAACGTTCCAGGTTGAGGGGAACTACCAGTTCTTCCCTAGAAGCCTGAAAGCATAGCATCGTCTTGGTGAATTTTCCACAGTCCCGGTATTGACCCCCAGCCTTGGTGTCTAAAGCACCTGATTTTGTCAGCACACCTGGAACCAGTCCCATCTGTTTATGGGGCAGACATACTCAGCAGCTCACAGAACTGCTATATCAACCTTTAGTTTATAATAAAACACAGTAGGATGTTCCTGGGCCTCACGTCTAGCATGTTCCTTGCCTCTGGAAGATGTGGCTGGGTCAAAGGCTGCAGGGTAAAGGGAACCAGCACAAGAGCAGTCGGCTCCAGGGCCTCCAGCTGGCTCTGTTAGGAGCTCTTTGGGGCAGGGGGCAGCTTGGGAAGGCCCTGCTGCCCGGGCCCTGGGCGTGGCCTGGCCCTAGGCTGCGGAAACCGCCGAGCTGGGTGAATGCCGGGTCCGAGGGACTCGATTCGAATGGCACTCGGACCTGAAGCACCCCACCCTCCGGGGCTGCCCTGTGCCAGACAGGCCCGCGGTGGCCGCCGCCCTCCTTCAGCCGAGGCCCTGCGGGTGTCAGCGCGGCAGGGCCGGGGCCGGGCTGCTCCACAGGGCCTCGGCCTGCTCTGATCATTCCGTGGTGGTCTAGTTTTCAAAGACCACCTTTGCTTGTGTCCAGGTTCCGGAAGTGCCTTCACTTTGCTCTGTGGTCATTTATCTCAGATTGCAGCTGGGCTGGTGCGATGGTGGGTTTCCCGTGGCGGGGTGGGGCACATTTGCCACCGGCTGATCTCTGCTGCTGTGATTAGAGAGCAGCTGTCCAGGTAGGGGGTCTCAGGTCTTTGTTTTCTGGTTTTCTCCTTCCTCCCAGGAGGGGCCGAGTCACATCTGAGCCATCCCCTGGCTCAGAGCTGCACGTCCCGGGGGAGCCCGGCCTTGCTCCTCAGGCTCTGAGGGAAGGGAAGAAAGAGGCCCCCTCCAGGGTGGCCCACAGGCCTGGGTTGCACCTCACTGCGTCGTCCCTAGAGACAGACCTGCCCCAGGAGCCCGCTGCTGGGTCTGCTCAGGACCTCCAGCTCCTGCGGTGGGAGCGCGGAGCTCGGCAGGTCCCAGCGGAGCGCCCAGAGAGCCGTGTGGCCTGGCGCAGTGCTGCAGCCCGGCCTCGGCGGGCACCGCTGTTGCCCACCCCGAGCCCTTCTCCACCTCTCCCTCCTCCTTCCCGCTGACCTTCCTCTCCTGCTGAACTGAAAACGTACCCAGATCTTCATCTGCATCTGAGAGCGGGTGAACCAGATAATGGGCCCCCTAGAGCAGGGGACAGATGGAAAGGAGTTCCCCTTACGAATGACTTGGGCTGCGACTGTTGAGAGAAGCCGCCAGTGTCAAGCACGGATGTGAGAACCCGCCCGCTAGCGCAGCAGGTTGAGACAAACCAACTCACACTTGATTCTACTTGAGGCCAACGCAGTGTGGTCCAATTTCCATTTGTATTTTTTATTGGAAAGGCAGGGTGTCAGAGGGAGGGGGGAGAGAGAGATCAGTCTTTTCATCTGCTGGCAAATGGCTGCAGTAGACAGGGCTGGGCCAGGCCAAAGCCAGGAGCTGGGAACTCTGTCTGGTCTCCCGCGTGGGTGGCAGAGACCGAAGTATTTGAGCCATCATTTGCTGCTTCGCAGGTGCATCAGCAGGGAAACGGATCTGAGGGAAATAGTTAGGTCTCTAACTGGCACCCTGATGGGGGGTGAGGGGGCTTAACCCACTGGGCTATGCGCTTCCACCTCAACCCGTACCTCTGTTTTTACTTAAGATTTTATTTATTTGAAAGGCAGAGCAGAGCATCAGAAAGAGATAGAGGTAGAGATAAAGAGATCTTCCATCTGCTGGTTCCCTCCCAAATGACAACAGCCAGGGCTGAGCCAGGCCTCCATCCAGGGCTGTGACATCTAGGTGGCAGAGGACTAAGCCCTTGGGCCATCCCCTGCTGGTTTCCCAGGTGAATTAGCAGGAAGCTGGTTTGGAAGTGGAGCAGCCAGGATGCAAGCTGGTGCTCCGATGTGGGAGGGGCTTGTCCCACGCAGTGGCTCAACCTGCTGCCCCGCCCCACTGCCCCCCCCCAACCTGCTGCCCCGCCCCTCTGGCCCCGTCCCCCGTTGGGAGAGGACAGAATCCACACCCTTTGACTTGCTGGCCTGCGGCAAATGCTTGAGGTCACAGAACGTGTGTTTGGAGAAGCCCATTGAGTTCATGGTCTGCGTGCTCTGCGTCTCCCCTCCGGGGTTCTCTAGCAAACTAGACCAGCTCCGCTTCTGGGGTTTCAGGGGCTGTGGTGACTCATTCCCCCCATCTGTAGAAACTATTCATGAGAACATTTTAAAGAAACGGAGTGCTTCTGGCAGATTCAGAAATGTAAATGTAACCCCAAGTGTTTCCGTCCCAGCGTCCTCTCCACACCGTGTGGCCTGAATGTTCTGCATTTCGGCCTCTTCCTGTTCCCCCAGATGTCATCCAGGTTGTTAGCACCGTTGCTGTGCAGGAGGCAGAGGGGAGCCTCTGGCCTCGGGTGGCCATCTTCGCCTCCACGGCTCCCGGGATCCTCCACGGCAGGAGGCTCAGTGACCTGCAGATCGTGGATCTGGAGTCGCAGAAGACCACGTACGCCTCAGGTACTGCCGCCGCCTCCCTGTCCGCCTGGTCAGCCCTGCGGCCAGGTGCGGGAGAGCGGGGAGAGCGCGGTCACTGAGACAAGGCCGGGCCCCAGAGGCTCTCCTTGGGGGGTGGGGAGAAGCAGTCCCGGGGACCGGCCCACCTGGCTGAGTCGACTGTGGCGAGAGGAGTGGGTGGCGAGACAGGACCCGCGCTGCCCGCATTGGTAGGCGGGGACTCGTGGTCAGTGGATGCCCGCGTGCCAGCCGCAGCCGACTCCAGCACCTTCTCTCCTGTGCCTTCGGCCCCCAGGTGTCAGTGACCGCGAGGAGCTGAGTAGCCTGCAGGTCCTGGATGGAGACACCTTTGCTTTCTGCTGCACCTCGGGCCGCCTGGGGCTCGTTGACGCCCGCCAGAAGTGGGCGCCGTCAGAGAGTCTCCGCCCTGGCCCCAGCTTCAGTGGACAGAGCTGGTGTGCAGACGTGGGGGGCAGAGGCCAGGCGCCTGGGCCCAGCATTGCCAGTCTTGGCTCCAATGGGCAGCTCCGCCTTCTCGACCCCCGGGACCTGAGCCGCCCTGTGAGCTCAGTCCAGTGCCCAGTTCCCACGCCTAGTCCTGACCCGGAGCTGCTGCGAGTGACTTGGGCCCCGGGTCTCCATAACTGCCTGGCCATTTCAGGTACTGCGGAGCCAGCCCCTGTGTGTGTGACTTTCTCGCTCTCGCTCTCTCTCCCTCTCCCCCTCTGTCTCTCCCTTGCTCTCGCTCTGGCTCGCTCGTTCTCTCTCTCTCCCCGTCTCGGGGTTGGTGGGTCGGGTGCTCAGGAAGGAGTCTGCGGCCCCTTAGGAAGCTGCCCTCCAGAAGTTGCAGCGCGCAGAGAGAAGCTGCACGCCGACGTGCCAGGCTCCCCCAGGGCAGGCCCTCCCCGACCCCGGCCACCACACTGCCACAGCTTGGCAGCCGGCTCTCCCAGCCTGGCCAGAACCCAGGCCTCAGGCCAGCCAAGAGGCCTGCAGATGAGCTGGCCCGGTGCTGGGAGAGCCAGGGTGCCGCAGCAGGCAGCAGTGAGGGGTAGTGGGCTCATAGGGGCGCCTTTCTGGGTCAGCACTCCTGGGTCAGGCCCAGGGGAATCTTGCAGCAGTGGGCTGGTGAGAGAGCCAGCGGGAGGCAGCTGTTGTTGGGGGGTGGGCTTGAAAGGACAGTCGAGGGAGCAGGAGAGGGGGACCGGCAGTGTCGGGATCCAGAAAGAGCAGGAGAGAACCCAGCCCAGGCCTGAGTGCCTCGCTGTCTGTGTCCCCACCCAGTGGCCTGTCTGGTGCCTGGAACAAAGGATGAAAGCATTCCAGGGCCTCGCCGTCTGACCTCTTCTGTGCCCTTGCTCAGGCTTCGACGGGACGGTTCAGGTCCATGACATCACCGCCTGGGCTGCAGCAGGGAACCAAGTGGAGCCGCACTTCACGCACAGCGGCCACCTCTTCCTGGACGGAAACGGGGCGGGGCCTGCTCCGCTGGTCACCACCCACACCTGGCACCCCTGCAAGCCGAGGACCTTGCTGTCAGCAGCCAGCGACGCCTCTCTGCACGTGTGGGACTGGGTGGCGCCGGAGGCCTCCTGCTGACGCCGGCTTCTCAGCAGGGAGGAGGGGCTGTTGCAGTGGCTGCTGGTGCAGACTGGTGGCTGCAGGTCCCCCTGCCAGCCGGGTGGCCTCCGTGAGCCGTGAGGATGGTGATAGCGGGAAGAGCTCACGAGTGCAACGTGTCCTGTGAAGAAAACGACGCAGGGCCCAGAGGCAGCTGGGGGCATTCTGGGAACGGCAGTGGAAACAAGTCACGCCGTTCCTGCCGGGTGAACAGCCGATGCTACAACAGGACCACTTTGAGCCGTGGCTCCACGGGGCCGCAGGTCCAAAGGCGGCCTGGTTCCTGCCCGGCTGGGTAAGGCCCGTTGTTCAGCTGAACCATGGTTTGCCTGTGTGTGTCCAGTCCCCTGTTGGATGACAATGAAAGTTTTCTCGGCTTTTGCTGTTATAAATAGTGCGATGAATAGCTTTCGTACCCGTGAGCAGGACGCCTGCCTGGCGATTCCAAGAATAGAATAGACTCGTGCGTTTGCAGGCTGTGTAAGTACTGTCAAGGAGCCGCTTTTGGCCCCTGCCAACAGAGGTGGGGCCGCTGTCGTCTGCCTCCCCTCCAACAAAGTCTGTTTGCTGACGCTTTGACCTTGGCCGGTCTGATCCGTGAAGTCAGCGTTTACAGCTTCAGGTTGAAGCTTCTTATCTGCGAGGTTGAGACCCTGCACACTCTAACGCCTGGGGACAATCGTTTCTGAAATGGTAACAGCCACAATATGGGGAACTCGGCCCCGTGACCCGGCACCACCTGCGGCCCTGGAGTTCTGTCACCCTCTCTTGGCAGTCCTCACCGCCACTGACACTGCCTCTCGGCCTTCCCCAGGGCGGGGCTGCCCCACACCTGTCCCCACAGTAGCGTGGGCCCTGGGACAGTCCCTTATCGGGGCCTGTAGCGAGCAGGAAAGTCTCAAGCGTGTCCCCATTAAATAGAATTTCTCACTAGCATTTACTGAAGGATTTTAGCGATTTTGCTTTAAAATTATTTGATTACTTATCACATTTTGCACTTTGATTTGTTTAAAAATACCTCCACTGAGATTTAATTCATATCCCATTTTTTAAAAACAGTTCCTGGCCGGTGCTGCGGCTTACTTGGCTAATCCTCCGCCTTGCGGCGCCGGCACACCAGGTTCTAGTCCTGGTCGGGGCACCAGATTCTGTCCCGGTTGCCCCTCTTCCAGGTCAGCTCTCTGCTGTGGCCCGGGAGTGCAGTGGAGGATGGCCCAAGTGCTTGGGCCCTGCACCCGCATGGGAAACCAGGAGAAGCACCTGGCTCCTGTCTTCGGATCAGCACAGTGCGCGCCGGCCACGGCGGCCATTGGAGGGTGAACCAACGGCAAAGGAAGACCTTTCTCTCTGTCTCTCTCACTGTCCACTCTGCCTGTCAAAAAAAAAAAAAAAAAACAGTTGCTGGCTTTGGCCTGGCCGTGGAGGCCCTTCCCCTCTGTGTCATTCTGGCTTTCAAATAAAATTTTTTTGAAAGGTCTATTTATTTATTTGAAAAGCAGAGAAGAGAGAGAGGGAGGTCTTCCATCTGCTGGTTTACTCCCCAAATGGCAGCAATGGTTGGAGCTGGGCCCATCCAAAGCCAGGAGCCAGGAGCTTCTTCCGGGTCTCTCTCGTGGGTGCAGGGGCCCAAGCACTTGGGCCATCTTCTACTGCTTTCCTGGGCCATAGCAGAGAGCTGGATCAGAAGTGGAGCAGCCGGGACTTGAACCAGTGCCCATGTGGGATGCCGGCACTGCAGGTGGTAGCTTTACACACTCCACCAGCCCCCACATAAATGTTTTAAAAAATTGAATGACTGGGCCAGGCCAGAGTCGGGAGCTGGGGACTAAAATCAGGGTCACCCGTGTGAGTGGCAGGGACCCAACGACTTGAACCCTCAGCTGGGGCCTCCCAGTGGGTGCATTAGCAGGGAGCTGGGGCTGGGAGCGGGCCGGGTAGCAGACTCTGCTACCCTGAGGTGGGACACAGGCATTTGACCTGGATCCTTCAGTGCTGGGCTGGATGCCCACCCTCTTCTTCCTGGAAGGACACTGGATCTATCAGATTAGGGCCTCATGCTTACAGCCTCATTTAAACCTAATTCCCTTCTAGGCCGTCTCCAAACAGTCACATTGGGAATGGGGGCTTCACCGTGTAGATTTGATTCAGCCCTTAGCTCTTGGGAATTATTTTGAAGTGAGGAAAACCTAACATTTGAAACTGAGGTACTCTGTCTCTCTCTCTCACTGTCCACTCTGCCTGTCAAAAAAAATAAATAAATAAAAAATAAAAAAAAAGCCGGTGCCGTGGCTCAATAGGCTAATCCTCCGCCTTGCGGCGCCGGCACACCGGGTTCTAGTCCCGGTCCGGGCACCAGATTCTGTCCTGGTTGCCCCTCTTCCAGGCCAGCTCTCTGCTGTGGCCAGGGAGTGCAGTGGAGGATGGCCCAGGTGCTTGGGCCCTGCATCCCATGGGAGACAAGGAGAAGCACCTGGCTCCTGGCTTCCGATCAGCGCGTGCGCCAGCCTCAGTACGCCGGCCACGGCGGCCATTGGAGGGTGAACCAACGGCAAAGGAAGACCTTTCTCTCTGTCTCTCTCTCTCACTGTCCACTCTGCCTGTCAAAAAAAAAAAAAAAAAAAAAAAAAAAAAACTGAGGTAAATTCTTTGAATACTTAACAATAGGTTGATAGAATGTTTTTATTTTAAAAATATTTAAAGTTCGCCGTTCAAGATATGACCACTTTCACTTTTTTTTTTTTTTTTTTTAAGATTTATTTATTTGAAAGGCAGCATTACAGGAGGGTGTGGGCATCTTCCATCTGCTGGTTCACTCCCCAGATGGTCGCAATGGCCAGGATTGGGCCAGGCCGAAGCCAGGAGACTGGTCTCCCATGTAGGTGCGGGGCCTTGGGTCATCTTCCACCACTTTCCCAGGCGCATTAGCAGGGAGCTGGATCGGAAGTGGAGCAGCCGGGACTTGAACTGGCGCCCATATGGGATGCCAGCATTGTAGGTGGTGGCTTAATTCACTGAGCCATGCCAGCCCCTGGGAGTCTTCTTTTCAGTCACTGCTCCACTTGACTCCACTTTGATGACAGCAGGTTCTGTAGATCCTTCTCAATTCTGCGTCGTGGTGTCACATCGCTGCCTTGAAACCAGCCACAGTGGGAAAGAAATTGGCAAGGGGTGGACTTTGTGGCATGGTGGGTTAAGCTGCTGCCTGGGACCCCTACATCCGATACTGGAGTGCCTGACGACTCTGCTTCCCATTCAGCTTCTTGCTAATGTGCCCGGGAAGGCAGCAGATAGAGGGCCGAGTGCTTGGGCGCCTGCCACCCGCGTGGGAGACGTGGATGGAGTTCCTGGTTCTTGGCGTCAGCTTGGCCCTGCCCTGGCTATTGCAGTCATCTGGGGAATGAGCCAATGGATGGAAGAGTCTCTCTGTCTCTCTCTGCTTATTTTAAATGACTCTTAGAAAGAAAAAATTGAGGCCGGTGCTGTGGCTCACTTGGTTAATCCTCTGCCTGTGGCGCCGGCATCCCATATGGGCGCCAGGTTCTAGTCCTGGTTGCTCCTCTTCCAGGCCAGCTCTCTGCTGTGGCCAGGGAAGCAGTGGAGGATGGCCCAAGTGCTTGGGCCCTGCACCCCATGGGAGACCGGGAGGAAGCACCTGGCTCCTGGCTTCGGATCAGCGCAGCGCCGGCTGTGGCGGCCATTAGGGGAGTGAACCAACAGAAGGAAGACCTTTCTCTCTGTCTCTCTCTCTCACTGTCTGTAACTCTACCTATCAAATAAATAAATAAAAATCTTAAAAAAAAAAATTGCCAAATGCTGCAAAGCAGGGCTCCCCAGCCTGGAGCTAGGCCAGCCTGCCGCTGACACTCCCGGTTCCCCAAGGAGAAGCACAAGTGAGCCTTTAAAAGGAGGACAACTGATTCCTGACTTTGAAAGCTGCTTTGCTGGAAAATATTGATAAACCATGTCTCAGTCAGTGTCTGGCCCGGAAGACTGAGCCACTGTCCCTCCCCCAGCCCCAGCGGGAGGAAATGAGTGGCGGGCAGCTCAGGAGGCAGCAACTGAAAGAGGAAGTGGGGTGGGGGGGTGGGAGGACAGGAGCTGCCACAGGGGGTCTCCCGTGGGGATGGGGCCGCTGCCTGCTGGCTAGCACTGGGGCTGTGCAGCTGGGGCTCCCAGCAGTGCTGGAACTACCCCAGGTACAGAGAGGGGAGAGCGCCCTCAGGTTATCCCACCCTCGGAGATCCTGCCAGTGCCCCTGGCCTAGCCCTGTTGGAGCTCTGTGCAAAGCATTCCGGGAAGTGAGCTGAGCAGGAGCCAGCTTGGATGGACCTGAGGACAAGTGGACAGTGACTGTTGGCACTCCGCTCAGATCGAGGAAAGGGGACAGTGAGAGCGGGGAGTAGACAGGGATGGCCCAAGCTCGTTCAGGCATAATGTGAAGAAAAATGTGGGGATGACAGTTTGGAGATAAGTTTCTCAAAAGAACAGTGAATTTTCATAGTGTGGTAGCTTCAACAAACAAATCTTTTGTAAAAATCTGGAAAGCTCACAACACATTATATGACGGGGATAAAATCCTAACACCAGGGCCAGTGCTGCGACGAAGCGGGTGAAGCTGCCATCTGCAATGCCGGCATCCGTGTGGCTGCTGGTTTGTTCCGGCTGCTCCACTTCGATCCAGCTCCCTGCTGTGGCCTGGGAAAGCAGTGGAAGATGGTCCAAGTGCTTGGGCCCCTGCACCCACGTAGGAGACCTGGAAGAAACTCAGCTCCTGGCTTTGATCTGGCCCAGCCCCGGCTGTTGCAGCCATTTGGGGAGTGAACCAGAGATGGAAGACCTCTCTCTGCCTCTGCCTATCCCTCTCTATAACTCTGCCTTTCAAATAGATAAATAAATCTTTAAAATAAATAAGTAGGGGCCAGTGCTGTGACAGCAGGTGGGGCCCCCGCCTGCAGTGCTGGCATCCCATGTGGGTGCTGGTTCGAGTCCCGGCTGCTCCACTTCTGATCTGGCTCTCTGCTGTGGCCTGGGAAAGCAGTGGAAGATGGCCCAAGGCCTTGGGCACCTGCACCCGCGTGGGAGACCCTGAGGAGCCTCCCTGCTCCTGGCTTTGGATCAGCGCAGCTCTGGCCATTGCAGCCATTTGAGGAGTGAACCAGCAGATGGAAGACCTGTGTGTGTGTGTGTGTGTGTGTGTGTGTGTCTCTGTCTCTGCCTCTCTGTAGCTCTGCCATTCACATGAACAAATAGCTCAATCAATCAATAAAAAAAGCAACCAGGACCCTCCTCCCGCCGTACCAGTCGGGGGCTCCCCTGCAGGATCCTCTGCCGCCGCTCCTGAATGCCCTTCTTTCCAAGGCACTGCCGTACACACCGGGTTCTGCCCTGCGGCCCTTCCGACACGGGCTCCGCCGGCACGGCCTCCTGCCCCCAGCACCCTCTGCGCAGTTCCTCACGCTGTCCAAGCAAAGCCCCAGCCCCTCTGCAGTGGGGGTGGCTGCCTGCGGGGCGCATCAGGGCGTCCTTCTCGTCGGAGAAGGCCCAGGTTCCCGGCGTGGGGCGCTCCTGGCCTTGCGGTGGGTCGTCTGCAGGGCTTTGAAGCGGTAGCGACACTGCTTCAGGGCCCGCAGGAAGCCACACTCCCGCAGCCACCCGGCCGTGATCTGGTACACCCGGCGGTTCTGGTGGCGGGTGCGGAGCGCCTCAGGGATCCAGGACTCACTGGGAATTCCCAATAAATCCGTGGTTTCCTCGGAGCCCCAGTGCACTCCGGCCACCTCATCCTGCAGGCCCTGCCAGCCGCACACTTCCGGGGCGTGGCTTTCCTGAAGCCTGGCAGGGCCTGGGCAGCCTCCCACACGCTCCTCCTGGGAGTGCTGAGGGCCTGGGCTCTGCAGGTCTTGGTCCTGCTCCCTGTCGGAGCTCCCACTGTGAGCTGGGACATCTGTTTGCAGGGAGATAAACAGAAGACCTACGGTTTGGTGAATTAAACTCCGATCATCTTATTTTTAAAAAAGATGTACTTATTTATTTGAAAGGCAGAGGGACAGAGAGAGGGACAAACAAAGACAGTAATAGAGAGGCCTTCCATCTACTGGTTCACTCCCCAAATGGCTGCCAGAGGCAGCCAGGTACAGGCCAGGCAAAGCCGGGAGCCAGGAACTCCATCCAGGTCTCCGCATGGGTAGCAGAGACCCCAACATTTGGGGCCATCTCCCACTGCCTTCCTAGAGGCATCCGCAGGAAGCTGGACTGGAGGCAGAGCAGCCAAGATTTGAACCGGCACTGATAGGGCTGGTATCACAAGTGCAGGCTTAACCTGCTGTGCCACAATGCTGCCCCCTCCCCCATCATTTGATTCACCAGGGAAAGGAGATAAAAATTTGTGAGGAAAAAAAGTCAAAGCAGATTCTTGAGAAGGCCCAGTGAAAATAATATCAAGGACTAGGAGGGAACAACAAATCCTGGCCGAATCTC